TCCCCCTTCTCCCTAAGATGTTTCTACATCTCCTCAGTATCTCTTCCTCCTACATCTTTCATTCCCACTTGTACCCTCTCCCTTTCCCAATCACATTCTTTTGCCATTCTAAATCCAGACATTCCAATCTCTACCACTTCTCCGGTGCCTACCCCTCCTCCTTCTCGCTCTACCCATCACATCAGACAATCTAAACGTTCCAGCCCATCTTCTACTGCATCCTCTTCTATACCTACTTCTTCCTTTGCTTCTCAGGTGTCTATCCTCTCTTCTCTCTCTCATATGACCTTTATTTTCTCATACCTATCAATACAAAATTAAAATGCAGTATGATTTTTAACCTTTAGTTAAAATTTAAATTCATCAAAACCCCACTTTACCCTTTTTTGCTACTAAACTTTTCTATAGTGCTATAAGACTTTTGATGGTCTTAGCTGCAGCTGCATCAGGTGCTTGAAAATATGCATCCTTTTATTCAATATAATCTGAATATAACACTAATGTATAATTCCATATACTGTAGACAACTAGGATACTTCACTCTTTCATCAATACTGGTTAATATATATATAGTGACACCATATGTTACGACAAAGCTCTTCTGCAAATGCCTTAGCCTTAAATATGGGTAAACATGCACTACATATTTTCTTGAAAATAATCTTTATTTTACCCACATTAAATTCAAAGCATTTAAAGCAGTGGTTTAAAATGAGGCCGTAATTCAACTATACATAATGAATATGTACAATGGAAATAATTAAACAGTCCTGAACTGATTTTTAAATACTCTTTACTGGCAATATTGTTACATGGAAGCAACAACACATTACATCTTGAGAAAAGAAAAAAAAAAGCAGAATTCACCCTGGTTTCTTACAATACCTCTGTTCCATCTCTGACTCAAAGATGATATCTAAGCTATTAAATGATGATTGTACTCTCAGTTAGCAAAAAGTATTTCAAAAGAAAATGAAAAAGAATTAATGCAGTTACAAATTCAACTGTTCAACCATAACCGAATTACCCCATGAGTAATGTTTAATGTTAAATCTAATGTTTGAAAAAATAAATGTGCTAGACATCAAAGGTCATGTAACACTGTGGTAAAGTATTGCAAAGGAGAGTTAAAGATTACGAGAAAATGTGTTAGATATCAAAGGTATAAGAACGTTATAGGATAGTAGGGTAGTGAAAAGGGGGAATAGGGGAGCAAATGAATTAGAGCAGAAATTAGTATAAATGGGAGGGTAGGGCGATTTAGTGAATTACAGTGTATCTGTCACTGGGGAAGGTATAGGAAAAATGTTCAAGGAAGAATAGAGATATCTGTTGAAGAGTAAGAGAAGGGGAGGGTGTTAGATATCAAAGATTAGAGGGTGTTGTAGGAGAGTATGGTAATAAAGAGGGAAAGGAGGGAAGTAAATGAAGTAGAGTAGTGATTAATAGGTGGGAAAGGTTAAGAAAGTAGAGCAATTAAATCAATTGCATTGTATCTGTGACTGAGGAAGGAATAGGGATAATAGGTGACAAAGGTAGATATGGTTGTCTTAGTAGTAGGGGATTAGGTATCTGAGGGTTGAAATAAAGGATCAGGAGTAGGTGGAGTAGTGTCTGGGGGTTCAATAGGGACTGTGGGGTCTGGGGAAGGGTATACCCCATGAGTAACTTTTCATATTGCTGAATTTTGACTGTTATCTTAGACATGAACAGTTTTATTTAACTAGTACTGATTGACCTTTAATGCAATAATTCCTAAAAATAAAATCTTAAATCACTACACATGCACAATGCAGTATTTCATCATAGGTCTTGAATAGTCTCAGATATTAGACTCTGTTGACAGAAAACTTCAGTTCCATCTAAAGTTGACAGAAATATAACACCAGACAAAAAACAATTGGTCAACCAGATAAAAGTCCATCTTTAAATTGAACTAGATCTCATGTGCCGGTTTGAAGTAAAACCTCATTTCCTTTTAATCTTTTTATTTGTGTTGATCTTCTTGTACTGGAAAGGTGAATTTCCTTTTATTCTTAATGGACAGGTCCTGTAATATTGCTCTTTATATCTGTTGCAGCTTCTAGGCCTCTAATTGTGTGGAGGGGTATTGCAATGCTAAATAATCAATATGTAACTTAAATTTGCTACTTAAGGGGAAGAGTCGTCGGTACGATCACGAAATTCGTTATCCGATCCTGCTTACTTTAGTTTTTTAGCTAGGTCAATAATTTTTTTACACAAAGTGCATGGGTATGTGATGCTTGTATACAAGAAATTTGGTTAAAAAAGCTGTGTAAATTTTTGCGCAAAAAATACAAAAAACGAGTGAGATGATAGAATTTAAAAATTATGTGATGGTTTCCTTATAGTGAATAGTACTGCAGTTTCCTTCTGACCAGAGTTAGTCAACAAATAGGAGTACCAAATGTAGCATTTATGTAAATCTATCTGAAACGACAATGTTTCAGTTACCTTGCAAAAAAGCGCCTTTTTTTTCGTCCGAAAATCGCCATTATTTTTTTCAGTAAAAAATGTATTTGGTGGAAATAATGCATGACTTTGCTACAGTTAGTAGATACGAACTGGACGATCATTTTGCAACAAGAATTATTAAAATCGCCTAATTACATACAAAGTTAACCTTACTATCATGCATGAAAATATGATTTTGAGAAAATAGCAGTTTTTGTCATTCATCGTCATTACATCATAAAGGTCATACCAATGATTACCAAATGTGAATATCTACTTAGACAATTCCTTGGCCTTTAATATGAGTCCTGTGGTAGAGGGTCAGGCCTTGTTCAGGTAATTTTAGGTCATCTTTATGTCAAGGTTAGGTTAGGTTAGGTGGGAGTGTTCTCTGAAAAGTATACTTTCAGATGTCAAGGCTCCTGGTCCCTCTGTCATTTACATATCATAGTACATAATAAATCATATATTGTGCATTGCTGATATATAAATGACATATTGTTAGGTTTTCAACAGGTTGAAAACAAAACATGTGTACTCCCAAAAACTTTATCAATCGCACTGTTCTCCCGTCCTTGCTGCTGCTGCCTGTCTGCTGAACGCAGCCTAAACTATCGTACAGCAGTATCATACCAAAGAAATTCGCAAAAACAGCCGAAAAAAATGTGAAAATACAAGAAAAACAAAGCATGAAGCAAAAAGGGGTGTGGCAGCATGAGGGCATTTAAATGCCTCAAACCTTTAGACCGTGGAAAGGAGCGCGTTATGCATCTGGCAACCAGCGCCCTGGGTGCGTCACATGGTCATGTATCCACACACAGTTTTAAAACCCGTACTACCACAGATGGCCATACTGACGACTCTTCCCCTTAAGCTCAGAAGGCCTGTCTATCTCTTGTGCTTGTTCAAAGTTCCTAATTACCTTAGGTACTTCAACTCCTTACAAAAAGATATAATAAAAAGGGTATGAGTAATATTCATAAGTACACATGTATATGCAAAAACACATAGCCTTTTTTCGACTTTGAGCAGAAATCAAGATAAAAATGAATGGTAAATCAATACATTGTTGTTTCTTCTTTCTTAAGACTTGTCCACACAGTCAAACCCAAGCCTGTGTGCATAGCCCATCACTGGCCCAAGTATGTGGTCAGAATTGTAATGTTCTCCACATATTGGCCAATCAAAGCTGGGTAAGTGACACAACAGGTTTTCTTCGAATATCTGTTCTAGATAGTCTTTTTAACTCATTTACAAGTGATAATTAATATACAGTGATAAACACTGTAGGCACTGTCTAGTGATTCTGAAAAACAGTAGTGTGGGCACTTGTGCACAAGTGGTAACCTGTCAACATGAAAACTGTTATGGTAGGACAATGATAACAGAAATGCATAAACAATAACAAAAAAATTATAAGCAGTCATACTTCTGGGCAGTGTTTATTCGAATATCTGTTCTAGATAGTCTTTTTAACTCATTTACAAGTGATAATTAATATACAGTGATAAACACTGTAGGCACTGTCTAGTGATTCTGAAAAACAGTAGTGTGGGCACTTGTGCACAAGTGGTAACCTGTCAACATGCAAATTGCTATCTTAGGGCCCATCTACATGATTAAGCACTGTCTGAGGCACTTGCTTAATGCCCATTATTTGGGAAAAATGGTCAATCCAATAGTGCATCTCAGCCTGTGGTCAAGAGAAATCTGGGTTGTCTGCCTGGTAATTTGTTGGCAGGTACCCTGTCAGCCACAAGCACTCATGTGAAAGACAAAACACAGGATTTGCCTGGTAAACAGGCATAGTCTGCAAGGCACTGTTCAAGTGTGTTGACAGAGCCTAATAAGTGGGCAGAAAATGAAATTTTTCATTTCATGATCTAGGCTGATGGTTATCAACTTTTTTTTTTTTTTTTTAGTCAAACATATTCTTTCTATTCTATGACCTTCCATAAGAAGTTAAAAGACTATTCAAAAGTGTAATAATGACTCGCCAACTTGCAATTTTCTATTTGAACCTTTACAGTTTAATGTCAGTGACTGCCGAACAGAGATTAGTTGCCATTCTCGTAGTCTTTTAAAAGAATATCAGCAGTGTCTAAAATTGTCAACAGAAAATAATTCTTTTTACTGAGTTAACCCTTTTACTCAGATGGCCGGCTGAAATCTCCTATCTTTGATTTTTGGAATTGCACATTTTGAGGCAAGTATTACATTTCATGTTTTAATTCCTTTTTTCAACATGTCCCACCAATTCAAATTTGGTATATTACTTTAGAAATATTATACATTTGCATTTGCAATCCTCACCATTGTCACAAATTACCTGGTAATGTTACAGAGTTGGTAACATAACCAGGACTCAGACTGTCAGTTTGTGATTATCCAGGTGTCTGTCACCTGTGTTGCATTTTAACCTGTCAAGGACATATCAGCAATATCCTTAGATTCTGGAATGTTGAAGTAAATTCATTCTATTTTCAATAAAATTACCATTTGAAAGGGATACGAAAAAATTAAAACTGATGGAATGTACACTGTATTGAATATGAATAATTCAAACAATTTTCTCTTTTGACTAGGTTGATACAAGTCTCTTAACAGTAAAAATCCAATGTCCTATTTAATTTCCTAATAACATTTCAAAATGAATAGTCTTATGTCTGACAATATGCAGTATAAGCAAGGAGATACAAGGCTGATTATTAATATTAAGTGAACCATATAAAGTCTCCTCTTTGTATGTATGTACATATTTTCTTTTATCAATCATATAACCCTTGAAATCTTATGTAATAAAATGTGTTTATAATATATACATACATATATATATACATTTACACAGAGCAGTAACATCATCCTCTGACTTAAACATTCATTTTGTATCAAGATGAAGCAACAGTTGTTTTTATACATGTAAATAGTCTCCTTAAGCATAACTTCAGTTTGTAAAATCCCTGTCATTTTGTATTGCTTTGATCTGAAGTAAATGAGTTTAAACCAACATAACCTATAATGCAAAAAAAAAATTAAATGAAGGTGTTTAACTAGTTCAAAAACAATATGTATACAAAAATATATAAAGAAAGAAAATGTTTGCTTTGAAATATTCATTACTTTTACCTTGAACAAGAGTCTGCATCACAAATATCATTATTATTATGCAATAATTATTCACAAAACATTTAAGAGTACTTACCCAATTTACTGTTTAAGAATAAATCACAGAATAAATCTTATAAATCATAAAAAAAACATATCCAGCTATTGTACCCACAAGAAACTACTGGAGCTCTTGGTCGAACAAATGCACTCCCAAACCAGCTGCTCCAACACGCCTCAACTTGGTCACCATGTCACCCATTTTCTTTATGGTTTCCACATGTTCAATCAAAAAGTGATCGTCAATAAAATGGCAGGTGAATGGATCATCCTTGGTAGACGACAGCACATGGAGCTCCAGGAAACTCTGAAAATTTGCAAGATTTGCTGCAGGTTAGAAGCGTGATTGAAATACCAATCACACTTACCATAACTAAGGGTTGAACTAATCTTGTGTGTCCAAATATCCATGAAAAATTCAGAACAATAAATGAGATAGGTAACACTCAAGGCTACATATTTCTTTAAAACACCAATATATAGTCAAAATGAATCTGCATTTATGATAACAACATAAAAGCCCAACAATGCAAGAAAAGAGCCTTTGCTTACTTGATTGATTCGTTTCTTCAGATCAAGTGCCATCTGAACAACTTCAACCGCACATCCCCATTCCTGCTGTGGTGGCGCTGCAATGGGCTGTAATACAATACCTCCACCGCGTTTATTTTGATACTGCAAAAGAAATAAGTCAGTAATATGCTGCCCGAAACACCATACAAGAGGAACCCTATAAGAAAGTGAAAATGTTTAATAATCTAAAATTAATCTGACAAGATATTAGATGTGTGTAATTGTCACCCAACTAAAATACTTATTTCATGAAATTAAACAAAATGACACTGCCCTAAGTAAATGCCCTTCCTGACCATGGATTGTTACTGGGTTCAATCTTACTTAGGTTGCAGATCCAAGCTGTGTGTATTACCACTGTAACAACAGCCCCCCCCCCCCCCAAACACACACACACACACCATACATATTCTTGCATTTTTCTGCAAATACTACTTTCCTTCCATTACACAATGTTTCATACCTTAAACCTCTGTTTTCAACATCAACCAGAAAAAAATGTAATATTTTGCATTGATACTTACATTCATGAGTTGGTGTGCATGGTCTCGTTCACGGTCACCAGCCTCTTTGAAGAACTTTGCAAAACCAGGGAGAGCTACGTCATCTCGCTCAAAGTGGTAACTCTGTGGACAACATGAAAACAAGTTCTAATACAGTGTATTCTTTAGGCACACATAATGTTACATACATAAATACACCCATAGGTTATTTTAAAAATGTTTGTTATTATCCCTGTCTGCCTTAGAAAATGCCTCCTGATTTTTTACCATTTACTCTCAATCCCTCAAAACTGTAATGAGGCCTGACTGGGATAAAATAAAAAGATATATAATAATAATAACAATAATAATGATTACTATTATTATTATTACAAACAATAATAATAGTAATATTATTACTATTAAACAAACAAACTAACCAACCAACCAATAAAAGAAAATGTAAAAACATAAATCTTTCATATGAGAAACTGTTCTGTAAAATGAAAGGTGAAGGATGCTAACCAATATACTCTTTTATAAATTGTTAGGCATAAACCTTTACATATGTAAATATAACATTTATCAAATGTGTGCATGTGTGTGTCAGACGACATATGTGCACATGCATATCAAAGAAATCAATACATATGTAAATAAAATTTAGGTAATTGATTACAAAGTGAAAGCAACCCCACAGCAGTTGGCTCCTGTGGGGTTACTGACATCCTTGGGAATACATAAACATCACTGTGTGGAACAATAGTTTTCCTACTCTGTGTTTTTGCCCTTAGTTATTCTCTATTTTTATGACATCATTATGTAAACATATATCAAGATTTCTTAAAACTTTTTTTTCATATATATATATATATATATATATATATATATATATATATATATATATATATATATATATATATATAAACAACCTACTCTACTTCACTCTGAGATTCTTACAATCTCCCATTTCTAACTCTTGCTCAAGTTAATAAGTGGGTAGCTTGAATCATGGGATTGCCATATTAACTTATATTAGTTGATTGGGGTGGGCGACACGGTGAGAGTGCCTATGAAATAGAAAAACAAACCTCTAATAGGTTAACAAAGTACATCTTAAATACGCTATAGATTGTAATTCCTTGCTTACATGTCGAGTACCCAAATGAGGCATTAGAATTTTTAAACAATATAGCATACTGATATCTTTCATTTATATATAGTTATCAGTTAACAAACCCTTCTCCCTGATATGGATCAATGAGTCTAAAACAAGAAACCATGACATCATAACATTTCTTACCCAAGTGTTCAGAGAAAATATTAGAGTGGAAAAGTGTTCTGTCAAAAGTATAAAAAAAATGTAAATTGTATTTAATGCTAAAATAGCTCAAACTATTCATGAGCAAACCTTATATCCAATTATAACAAAAATCAAATTACAATAGTACTAGTAATATCAAGAAAAATTATGGGGGAGAGGAGTGGCAAACGATGCCAAGCACTCAATATCAGGAAAAGTACATTTATCGTTATATAAAAGTAACATAACCCTCAAGTACGTACTCTCACTCTCCATCACTTGCTGTTGCCATGTTCCATTACAGATACAAGTCTTATCACTACAAAACCCTTAACGAGCAATGATAAGATAAGTTATACATCAAAGTTGATGGTGTGTTATATGAAAATTAAAGGTATAAAAAAAGAGAAGATAGAGGAGAGGATAAACTATATTGTACGATATTGTGGTTGTAAAATTAGCTTTACATAAATAAAACCTATTATTGCAAGTTTCTACATTTCATGGTTCTACTTTATAAGAAAATATGTGCTGATAATCCCGAATATCTTAACTATAATAAATTATATAAAACTTTACAGTATCACAATTTCTGTAAGCCATGAAACTGTGTATAATGGAAGCTCATATTTCAACAAAACTTTGGTCTTTAATGGATTGGTTTAGGTGGTAATTTCTCTATTCATACAGCTATCTGATCTTGCAATTATCATTTTTCATTCCAATTATTCATGGTGTAATGAATGTGAATCTGCTGTTGTTTTCTATTGCAAATGGCAAGATCAGGATACAAGTGAAAGTATTTGTAACTGTTTACAAAATGACTGCAGCACTCTGAAACCAAGTCCCTATTAGTCTATCAAACAAACTTGGGGCACTCCCCAGAATCCACAAACATTATTGTAAGGACCATATTCCTTTCATAAACCTTACACAGTGCTTTGTCTCAGTGGGGCATTTCCTATGTCTTCATTTTTGGACATTCTGCCTGGGCAAATTATTTCTTGTATCAGTCTCTTTTTTTCCTCTCTTTATGATAGTCATTAGATTTTCCCAATCTTGGTACAGCAAAGCAAATGCCATAGGTGAAAGTGTCTAATTTCTTTCTTGTTCTGTCTATTATCGGCAAAGTTTACCCTGTACCATATGGTTCCATGATTTTGGTATTGATGGATTCCTCTCACTCTCTACTACCCAAACAAAGAAATTATTGCATGGAAACTCTCTAAATCCCCACATTCTTGGCCCGATAGCATGGGAGGGCATGAAAGGTAGTTGCGGGGCAAAATATAAATAAAATATACAGAATCAATTACCTTATTGTCTAATACAAAGGGCTGTGCACAGGGGGTTGGGGATGGGGGCAGCAGACCCCATTGGGGTCTGCTACCCCCATCCAAGGAATCCTCCACATTTTCATGGCTGGAGAGAGCACAGAACAGAGTGGCCATCAGGTGCTCACACAGTCATACTCTCTCCAGCTGTGCATATGTGGAGGATTTTTTATATTCTATTGTGAGGGTTGGGTGGAGCAGCCCCCCATTTGGGGGTTGCAGGGAGCACAGCCACCTTCATTAGACAATATAGTGACTGATTCTGTGTATATCATTCATAATTTACCCTGCAATTTCCCTGGTACCTTTCATGCCCTCCCCTTATATTGGGGTCAAGCTTGTTGCTAATGGGGGGGGGGGTTCCATGCAATAAAATCTAAATATGTCTTAATTATCAAAGAGGGTGAAAGGAATACATTCATACCAAAATTGTCAAGACCAGTTTCGCAGAACTAATGAAGAAAATTGACCTTTTCAGTTTTTCATGAATTGCTTTTGCAGATGTTAAGATGGTTATTAGCATCATAGTATTTACTTATCTGCTTATTCTTTACTTATTCAGCAGAAAATTCGCTGGGACTTCCTCAACCAAAATCATCAGTAAGCTACTTATTATAAAACTACAGTGAAAAAGTTATATGGAGAATATAACTATACTATACAACACTCTTTTAACAATGACTACCACTGTAATACATTCATAAGGACAATAATAATGCAGGAGACATTCTCTTTACATATACCTCCTTACCATTGACAGAAAAACATAACTAGCGTGTAGCTTGAGGTTGATCTGCTTGTTAATGGCAGCCTCGCAGTCTTCATGGAAGTTCTGTCTGACTTGCCTCATCTTTCCAAATATCACCGCCTCAAAGTAAAGTACAAACTTCACCCAGAGAAAAGTGAAGCCTTTCTACGCCTCCACTTCAACTGCTAGTCTCTTGTGTGCCAGGTGTTGTTTACTACACACACATCTACTAACTACCAGTCCAGGTTGCCAAACTGTGTCTTTGGCTAAATTCTTTTTCTGAGGGTTGCATTTACTCCTTTTTATATGTTTGGCTAAATTGCGTGATTTAGTACAGCTTCTTCTGGTTTAGAACTTTGTTTCGAATATGAAATGTCTGTATTTACAATGCATTTT